TAGAGGATCAGACTTAGACATTTCATGATTTTAACCAATAATTGCTAGCCAGACCATGGATGCAATGGGTATTATTATTTAATATCCATATTATTTAATTCTTTTAATCATATTACAACAGAAGTTAATCAGTTCTTTAATTGCTAGCTAGACCATCGATGCAATGGATATTATTATTTAATTCTTTTAATCATATTACAACAGAAACACATACTATCATATACTAGCCACATTAAATTGAAGAATACAAACATATACTCAGTTTATCAATCGAATTTCACTTTGCTATTCAAAAAAAAAAAAACTCCTATTTTATAATTATTAGGATGCATGCCACCCTAAAACGCGTTAGATAAGCTGCAAGATTTATTAATTTGAGACTAATTCATTCCTCATTTCTTCTGAGTAACATGTCCATGTGATGATCTCATGTCACGAAGGCGCTTCTCCTTGGAAAGTATGGCTGCCATTCTACATAAAAATTCAAGCAGTACAAAAATTAAATCAATACATCATTATTTATGTAAATCCCAAGAAATTAAAAAATTTAACGAAATGGCTCCATATTTATACCTTATGAGAGCTTCTGCATTTGTTTCCTTGCTACCGATACCCTCAACATGGCCATAATCCAAATTAACCCTGGAAACAGGCTTCTTCAACAGTTCTTCCCCAACTTTCACAAGATCCTCCAAGTTCTTTTCCGTAGCAACATCCACAGAGGCTAATGGTCCCGTTAACGTATCATCCTGCATTAATTTTTTATACATTAAAAATTTTCTTTTATTCCCATGAAGATATGCAGATTTTCTTGTCACATTAATTAAATATGTCATAACATTCAATTGTAAGTATAAGACAAGTAACATAAATCTCATCCATCATATGATTGAGATATTACATATTCTAATTTTCACTTTCTTTATTGGGTCGATTCATTAGGAACAGTATACCTGAATTCGAAGATAACTTCCCTCGGAATCAAGGGCTTGAAAAACAGTAGCCAGATGGAAATCAACCATGTCGCTGCTAGCTTGGGTAAACACATCTACCAAAGGAGAGGAGTGGTCGGAGGTCAACCATCCCAGAAGACCCCATTTAGCTGCATTTAAAGCACTATACTTTCCTTCACT